TTTTGAGTTGTATTTCCCTGATGGCCAAGGATGTTGTACACTTTCTTAAGTGTCTTTCAGCCATTTTAGATTACTCTGTTGAGAATTCTCTACTTAGTTCTGTATCCCACTTTTTAATTTAATTGTTTGGTGTTTTGGAGACTAGCTTATTAGTTCATTGTATATTTTGGAAATCAGCCCTCTGTCAGATGTGGGGTTGGTGAAGAGCTTTACCCATTCTGTGGGCTGCTGTTTTGTCTTGCTCTGTCCTTTGCCTTACAGAAGCTTCTCAGTTTCAGGAGGTCCCATTTATTAATTGTCATTCTCAATGTCTGTGTTACTGGTGTTATGTTTAGGAAGCCGTCTCCTGTACCAATTTGTTCAAAGGTACCTCCTACCTTCTCTTCTAGAAGGTTCAGTGTGGCTGAATTTAGGTTGAGGCCTTTGATCCATTTGGACTTAAGTTTTGTTTGGCAATAGATATGGGTGTATCTGCAATCTTCTACATGTCAGAATTCAGTTATGCCAGCACCATTTGTTGAAGATGATTTCTTTTTTCCATTGTATAAGTTTAGCTTCTTCGTCAAAAATCAGGTGTTCATAGGTGTGTGGGTTAATATTGGGGTTTTCAATTCGATTCCATTTGTCAACCTGTCTGCTTTTGTGCCAATACCAAGCTGTTTTCAGGGTTATGGCTCTATAATAGAGCTTGAAGTCAGGGATGGTGATACCTCTTGAAATTCGTTTATTGTACAGGGTTTGTTTTGGCTATCCTGGGTTTATTGTTTTTCCATATGAAGTTGAGTACTCTTATTTCAAAGTCTGTAAACAATGCACTGAAAAAGAAGTCAGAGAAATATCACCATTTACAATAGCAACTAACAACATGAAATATCTTGGGGTAACATTAACCAAACACAAGAAAGATCTGTATAGTAAGAACTTTTGAGTCTTTAAAGAAAAAAATTAAAGAAGACACCAGAAAATGGAAAGATCTCTGATGCTCTTGGATAGATCAATACAGTAAAAATGGCAATCTTGCCAAAAGTAACCTTCAGATTCAATGCAATTCCCATAAAAATCCTAACTAACTAGCTCTTATAACTTAAATTAACCCATTTTTATTCATTTCTGTCCTGCCATGTGACTCGTGGCTGTTAGCTTTCCTACGGTATGTCCTACTTTCTCTGCATCTGGCTGGTGACACAGCTGCCTTCTTCCCAGCATTCTCTCTCACCCAAAAACCCTGCCTAGCTATTGGATATTCAACTTTTTATTGAACCAACCAGAGTGACACATCTTCACAGTGTGCAAAAAAATATTTCACAACATTTCCACCTTTTGTGTAATAAAAAGGAAAAGTTTTAACTCTAACATACTAAAAATTATATACAATAAGAATAATTGTCAGGTAAGAATTACATTTCCAATGTCCAGTCCATTTTTATTTGGCAAATTTGGAGAAAGTTTTGTATTATCTATTCTTAGTCCAAAGTTTTATACAAAACCCATTTTTTTTGTCATAACTTGTACTACCATCCTAAAAATTGGCCATTTAGGGTTTTTAGTAAACCAACCAGAGTGATTATTCCACAACAGGAATAAAAATGCAAAATTCAAAATTGAGTTGATTTAACTGTCCAAACTCTTTTTTTTCCTTTTTCTCTCTCCTCTCTTTTTTTATTTAAATTAGAAACAATCTTGTTTTACATTTCTATCCCAGTTCCCTTTCCCTCCCTTCCTTCCCTGGTCTCCACTGACCCCCTATTTCATCCCCTTTCTGCTCCCTAGGGAGGGTGAGACCTCCCATGGGGATCCTCAAAGTCTGTCACATCATTTGGGGCCGGGCCTAGGCCCTCCTCCATGTGTCTAGGCTGAGAGAGCATCCCTTTGGGGCTCCCAAAGTCCATTCATATACTAGGGATAAATACTGATCCACTACCAGAGGCCCCATAGACTGCCCAGTCCTCCTAGCTGACACCCACATTCAGGGGTCCTGGTTTGGTCCTGTGCTGGTTTCCCAGCTATCAGTCTGGGGTCCATGAGTTCCCTCTTGTTCAGGTCACCTGTTTCTGTGGGTTTCTCCAACCTTGCCTTGACCCCTTTGCTCATCACTCCTCCTTCTCTGCAACTGGATTCCAGTTCAGCTCACTGTTTAGCTGTGGGTGTCTGCTTCAGCTTCCATCAGCTACTGGATGAAAGCTCTAGGATGGCATATAAGGTAGTCATCAATCTCATTATAGGGGAAGGACATTTAAGGTAGCCTCTCCACTATTGCTTAGATTGTTAGTTGGGGTCATCCTTGTAGAGCTCTGGACATTTCCCTAGTGCCAGATTTCTCTTTAAACCTATAATAGCTCCCTCTATTATGGTGTCTCTTTTCTTGCTCTCCTCCATTCTTCCCCAGACTCAATCCTCCTGCTCCCTTATGTCCTCCTCTACCCTCCTCTTTTCCCTTTCTTGTTCTCCTAACTCCCTCTCCCCTCCCCCCATGCTCCCAATTAGCTCAGGAGATCTTGTCCCTTTCCCTTTCTCTGAAAGACCGTGATGTCTCTCTTAGGGTCCTCTTTGCTTCCCAGTTCTCTGGTGGTGTGGATTTTAGGCTGGTAATCCTTTGCTCTATATCTAAAATCCATATATGAGTGAGTACATACAATGTTTGTCTTTTTGTGATTGGATTACCTTACTCAGGATGGTTTCCTCTAGTTCCATCCATTTGCCTGCGAATTTCAAGATTTCATTGTTTGTTTGTTTGTTTGTTTCTGCTGAGTAGTACTCCATTATTCAGTTGAGGGGCATCTAGGTTGCTTTCAGGTTCTGGCTATTACAAATAATGCTCCTATGAACATAGTTGAACAGCTGTCCTTGTTTGAATGTTCGTCCTTTGGGTATATGCCTAAGAGTGGAATTGCTGGTTCTTGAGGTAGACGGATTGCCATTTTCCTGAGAAACTGCCATACTGATTTCCAAAGTGGCTGTATGAGTTTGCACTCCAACAAGCAGTGGAGGAGTGTTCCCCTTTCTCCACATCCTCTCCAGCATAAACTATCATTGGTGTTTTTGATTTTAGCCATTCTGACAGGAACAAGATGCTATCTCAGAGTGTTTTGATTTGCTTTTCCCTGATGGCTTAAGAGTCTTTCAACCATTTAGATTCCTCTGTTGAGAATTCTCTATTTAGTTCTGTATTCCACTTTTTAATTGGATTATTTGGTGTTTTGGTGACTAGCTTCTTGAGTTCATTGTATATTTTGGAAATCAGTCCTCTGTCAGATGTGGAGTTGGTAAATATCTTTTCCCATTCTACCATTTTGTCTTGTTGACTGTGTCCTTTGCCTTACAGGATCTTCTTTGTTTCACGTGGTCTCTTTTATTATCAAACTCAGTGTCTGTGCTACTGGTGTTATGTTCAGGAAGCAGTCTCCTGTACCAAATCATTCAAGGGTACCTCCCACTTTGTCTTCTAAGAGGTTCAGTGTGGCTGGATTTATGTTGAGGTTTTTGTTCCATTTGGACTTAAGTTTTGTTTGGAGATACATATGGATCTATCTGCAATCTTCTACATGCCAGTATCCAGTTATGCCAGCATCATTTGTTGAAGGTGCTTTCTTTTTTCCATTGTATAATTTTAGCTTATTTGTCAAAAATCAGGTGTTAATAGGTGTGTGGGCTAATAGCAGGGTTTCAATTCGATTCCATTGGTCTACCTGTCTGTTTCTATGCTAATACCAAGATGTTTTCAGGAACAGTCCAAACTCTTAGTCTGTGAATAAATAGCCATTTTGAAAAGGAATGATGAAGCATGTGCAAACTTCTAACTCAAATGTTGCCTTAATATCCTTAGTAGGAAAAATATTATTCCAAAGGAGGATCAAAGAGAAAATGAAGTCAGCTAAGGAAAAATAGACTTAACACTCAATGCCCAATTCCCAATGGAGGAAATAAAAATGGCCAATAAACACATGAAGATATGCATCCTCACTTTGGTTCAAGAAAATGCCTATGCCAAACAGTAATGAGATACTCTTTTCCACTGATTAAATTAGCAAACATTAAAAATTCTTTGTTCCTGCAAAAATGCAATGAAGATACTATATTTTCACCCAGACAATGGGAGTTTAAATTCTTGAGATCTTCCTGGAAGGTAGTTTAGTAATATGTAGAAGGAGCCTCCAAATTATTCCTGTCCTGTCTTTTGCCTCAGAGAATTACTATTCTGGAGAAAGAAATCTGGGGTACATGTAATCACAGTGATTTGTTTATTGTCCCCATTATAACAGAGAAAAATAATGTTTGGAGTGAGAACTCCCAGTTGGCCAACTGAGTGAGATGGTGCAGGCATCCAAATGCTTGCTTACATTTCGTCTACTGCTCTGTGAGACTCCCATTGTGGTCTTCAGTCAGACCCATTTTCCAACTCAAAGCAATAAGCATTTTTGTTATATATGTTTGTTTTTTTTACATTTAAAAATTTTAAGGGATTGTATTTTTCTTAGTAAAGATGATGACGTATTGGGAGGTAATTAAGACAGGGAGATGGAAGAAAATTCGGGTGGAGAAAGCTAACCTGGGTTTGTTACTTATTTGAGTTGAAAAGGAAGAAATGAAACACTGCATTCTATTGGATTCTGAAAAAGAGCTGATAAGGGAAACATAAAGTGATGTGAATTTTTTCATATATATGACTAAAAAAAAATCACTGTAAAAAAGTAACTTCTATCTTGAAACTGAAATGACCTGAAGAGTCACTTGAAACTGAAATGACCTGAAGAGTCACCTGCTTGCACACTAATGATCCAGCTCCTCTGGCCAGCTGTCACCCTCCCTTTTATTAGTGACAGCAGGTGCTTGGATCTATATTCTGCCTCTTCCATAAGAGGAAGGCCCATTGTAAAGGGCTTTACAGCCTCACTCCTTAGCACACAGTGACACACAGCATTTTCAAAATGACTCATTACTGCTTCCTTTTAAGGACAACTTTCTAGAGTACTTATTAACTTGAAGGTTTTCTTTCTAAATAGGATTACCAAACTAATAATAATGACCAGGCAGTGGTTGAAATCTGTATCACAAGGATCACAACAGCCATCAGAGAGACGGAATCCATTGAAAAGCATGCCAGAGCCCTGGTGGGACTGTGGGATTCCTGCTTGGAACACAACCTGAGACCTGCAGGGAAAGACGAAGATACTCCGCATGCAAAAATCGCCTCTGATATCATGAGTTGCATCTTGCAGGTATGTCACCGCACAGCAGCAGGCAATTTGATACTGAGTTGGCAGCTCATGTGAACACATGATGTCTCTGAACTGACAATTTTTGTGCCTTTTAGATACTGTAAAAAGACACCATAAACCACTGATAGATTAAACCAGCAGGTTCCTAACTAATAAACTGAGAAAATCCTATCGAGTCCTTGCTGTGTCCCTGTAAGCTATACTATAAAGAATTAAAAATAATACCTCAGCAATCATGAAAGCATGGGGAGGCTAAAGGAGGATGGCCGGTGCCCTTCTCTATCACTTCCCACTTTCTCTTGAGACAGGGTCTCTCACTGAACCTGAAGATCAGCATTGCAGGTATATTCAGCCATGCTCAGCTTTATATGTAGATGCTAGAGATTTGAACTCAGTCCCTCATGCTTGTTCAGCAAATGCTTCTGTCTACTGAGCTGTCTCCCCAACCTGACTGACTCAGTCTGTGTCTGTTTTTCTAAATACCTATCTGTTATTACCTATCTGTTCTACACATGAGAAATGGGCAAATCCATGTCTTCAAGTGTCTGCTTTGCCATTTTTTTACATCTCTGCTTTGCCCCTTTGCCAATTAAGGGTAACAACACCTACTGTTTGGAACTATGGGCCATCCAGGTGGCATAACATGTGAAGTGCTTACCTATGACAACCGAAGTGCAGTCAGTGGTCAGTAAACATGGTGGTCTCTAGCTAGCAAATAGGTTCACAGTCTTGTAGGCCAATAGAAACAAGTTTCCATCTAACTCCAGCTATGACACAAAAATGTCAAAACTGTGTACTGCACTCCTGTGATGGTAGATAAACATGAAGAAGGTCCTTCATTACAATAGTTTTCTATATGTGGTGTCGACATGACATGGAGCACCAAATTCAAACCACAACTTACCCAAGGCTAGGAGCTCCTCTGACCGAGTTACTATATGGATTCAGTCATTGCCCATCTCCTGGAGAACCCCTGAAAAGAAAGATACATAAGACATTCTGCTTTCTAAAATAAATACAGACTTGGAGAGGACAGTGAGGATGAACATGTGGCCCAGGAGTATTAAAACTATTGGCCTAGTTGATGTACTAGAATGAAACTCCAGAGAACTGAGACTCCATACCTGATTTTAACCTCATCCAGTGAGTTATGGCACTCACTTTTTCTCAACCACCGTACTTAGTAGACCAGGTATCATATGTTAATCAGCATGGCATTATCTGTTGTCTCATCTCAGCTACCACTGTGGGAGGGCCTATGAAGAGGGAACTAATCCAAGATGGATGACAAGGGATACAAAAGGGACTAGAAGTCATCCACAAACCGGCAAGTGTATATTTTTTTTTGTTAATGTCTAGCCTCTTTGATTGCACACACAGTACTCATGTGGGCTTCCCCAGTCAATACTGTGTGAAGTCTTATGGGGAAAACTGGTATAAAGTTAAAAGTTTACTTAACAAACAACCCTCTCTCTATTTTTACCTGTAGGTGAACTTGGATAAAGTAACACTGGTACCTTTATTGCCTCATCTATAAAGTAAAGATTAGAGGAGTAATTGCCTTGTGTTTTTGTTGCAATGAGTAAATGACCAGACAGTAAAGAATAAATATTCAGATATAGGAAATACCAAATGATCATTTACTCCAGTTGAATCATCATCTGCAGGAGACTATATGACACCATACAACACTCTCTTTTTATTGTTATTTTTCCTGTGTGTGTTTGGTGTATGTGTGAAGGCTAATGGTTGACATTGGGTATCTTCCTCCATTGTTCTTCACTTTATTTATTGAGGCAGGAGCTCTTGATGAAACCAGAGCTAACCAGCTTGCCCCCATCTCCACCTCCAAGTGCTAGAATAATAGGCAGGCCACCACACCTACCCAGCTTTCATGTGTGATTGGGGATCCCTAACTAGGGTCCTCATATTGTGTGGCAAGTGCTATATCCACTAAGCCACTGCCCAAACCAGTGATTCAAGTCTTTACAACAAGATATTTATTCAGTAATTACAGCCATTGGTGGTTGTTTGCCTAGCTCTTCTCTCCCAAATTATGTTCTTTTTTATCCATTGAGATATTCCCAGCACCTAAAATAGCACTTGGCAAACAGTAGGTACTCAAGTATTATCTACTGAATGAAGCAATGTATGGGATCAGGAGCAGTAACGACCCTGTGGTTTCCTTAGCAACTAGACTTTTCTCCAGTGGGCTTCTGGACTTGGTTCTTGAATAGGAGGATGAAATGTGAAAGACGGGGACAATCAACAGACCTGCTCCCTTCTCACCTTTCAAGAATCCACTGGGACAACCAGATGACTGTGTCAGTTAGATTTCTAGATAGCTACACTGGCAAGAATCAAGCAGTCTGTCTGCATGTTGAGGCTGGATGAATAGCCAAGGAGCCCTATTTTAGTAGATGAACTTGAACATCTCTTGAGATTGTTGCTTTTCTATGGCTCCAATTGAATTTAATACCTGGAGGCAGAGGAGCCACTCTGTTGCTGTCACCCGAGATCTGTATCTCGTCTCCTTTGCTTTATTCCTTCCAGTTTTAAAACACTTGGAAAGCTTCCCAGCATGCATTTTCAAAAGGGAAATCTCTACCAAGAGCTCAAATGGTGCTAATCAAGTTGCGAAATGCAATCCTTGGCATCGTGGAACAAGGCCCTCTTGTTTCACATCTCCACTGAGGTGTGGCAGTCCTCGGGATTAAGTTTATTTCCACACAGTGCCCTCCGATAGTTCCCTGAGCTCTGAACTTGTAAGATAATATTCACACCAGCCGGCTCACATCTATGCTGAGGGCCAAGCTCCGCCATAGGCTGTGACATTATCAGCTGCTGTTAAAGTGGTTTATTTGTTGTAGAATGGTGACCACAGGACTTTTCTCTGCCTGCATCCCATTAGCAACCCTGTGATCCAAATAATGCTAAAGATAAAATGACTTGCTGTGCCCAGATCTACTGCATTAGGTGCCTTTGAAATGAAGTTCAGCCGACGGGACTAAGTTGTTTGTTATCTGTTAGGTCCCTGGGATTCTTCTTTGTCAATGTCATCCTGGCCTCTAGCCCCTTACTCACATCCTGTTGTCGTCAGCAGTGCTTGTGGCTTTTGATATGGTAGGGGCTGTCTAGACACTGTTTTGATGAGACGGAGTGCTTTTGGTAGTGATTGCTTAGAATTTAGATCAACTGTTTGCTCTTTGCTTAATGTTTTACTTTTTGTTTCATTTGAGAGGTTTCCAAATTATTTTGTGCAGGGAGAAGACAGAAAAGTTGAGTGTGTTGAAGTTTATTTTGTTTTTGTCTTTTAGTGATGACATTATATGCTTGAGAGGAGGAGGGTTTTGTGTTTTTGTATTGGATCCACACTTCAAAGATATCCAGAACTATTCTAAAAAGAAATCAATCTGATTGGTTCAGAAGGCCCATTCTTTCAGTGCTGCTACAAAGGGCTAGCTTACTCCAGAGGGTAAAACAGAAAATAATGATTTCCATCCATCAGATCCCTCCCTGCGTTTGTCTGTGCTCACAGTTAGCAAGGCCACTTCCTGTTGTCACCACCTTTGGAGTTTTACATTACACATAAATATGCTTGAGACCATAGGGCACAACCTTAATCCCAGCATTAGGGAGGCAGAGACAAGCATCTATGTGAGCTTGAGGTCAGCCTGGTCTATGTAGTGAGTCCAAGGCCAGCCAGAGCTACATAGTGAGACTCCATCTAAAAAATAAATAATAAAAAATTTTAAAGTTCCTGAAGATCTATTCCTCTAATAAAAGATATGTACATTTCTACTTTCAATTTATTCTTGCCAAAAAAACCCAAAAAACAACAACAACAAAAAACATTCAGTGTAGAAAAAGTACCTTTGACAATGGAGTTCTTTTTGGAAAGTTCCCAATGTTAAGGCTTTGACCAATCAGTACAGGGACAAGTTTAACTGATGCAAGTTTAACAGTCAGAAGCCTCCATGTAATAATAATGTATTTGGATGTAATTGGATGGCTATAAATAGAGACCATGACAAAACTGGGGGTTGGGGTAGCATTCAGTGCTTGATCAGAAGTAACTTGAATGTGAATCCAAAGAAGCAGCAATATAGTATAATTGAGAAAAGAGGGGGAAAAAAACAGCCTTGCTGAACACCACAGTCTGCAGAGTGTACTAGCAAAAAGAAGATAGATTACTATTTTGGTACATGTACTCAAGTGTTACTCAGAGCAGGTATTAGAGACAGAATTTAGGGGGTGGAATGTTCAGGTCATCACAGATGGCTATAGAATAAGTGCATTATTTTAACCAGGTTCTATCATAATCTTGATGGAATATATCTCAGTATCTCTTTGAGCTTCCCTGATCTTGTGATCTTGTGCTATTGACTGAAGACTCTGGTTTCTGGCATGGCTTCTTGGTATCTTGATAATGTAAGAGGGATGTTCTGATCTGACCAAAGAAAAGTCTCCCGCTATCAATGAGTCCTTTGGCTTCACTATTTTGTGTCAGCCTTCTAGAAACCCCTTAGTGTGAGTTGAACTCAGTAGATCCAAGCAATTCTATGTGAGTGAGTGCCAGGCTTGGGAGAGAGGATAAGCCTGTCCTCCAGGGAGGCCTCATAACCTACCACATCAGGAATGGCCAGTCAAATCAGGCCCACATATATTTGCTAAAAGTTGAGGAAGGCAGGCCAAGATAATCAGATAAGGCATAGAGACATCTCAAGGCAGGCCATGGTCCTGACTCTGTATCTGGAAAATTGATATAGTATAAGAATGAGTTAAAAATGTATCAGGCATTTTGTTTGTTTGTTTGTTTGTTCCTGGTGACTAGGATACTAGGAATGCTTATGCAAAAACATATTTAATTGTTTTTTTAAGAAAAATTTAGGGATGGAAATGGGCTAGGCACACTCTATCATGGAACTCAAATATTAACAGGATCCAATTTCTCCCAGCTTGCCTCTCTAAACCCATGTTTTCTCAAGTTTCAATCAGGTTCTCTCTTGCTTAATGAGGTCTTATGATAGTGACACCCATAAACTCTTATTACCTTGAATACAGCATGAAAATTGTAATCACAGAGCCCTTTGAAGAATCCTTAACTGAATTTTGTGAAATACTTATTCCTGAGCCATCATTTGCACCAGGGAAATATGGCTCTCTGTTAGGTTGAGTCACTTACTCACTCTTGAGACCAAGGTTAGAAATGCTGTAAGCAGAAGAACTGGAAAGCTCCCCAAAGAGGAATTAATGTAGAATCTCCAAAGGAAAGCTGGAGAATACTGGAAAGGCTTCAGTGAGGCTGAGATCTGGAGGTGGAAGGGAAGCCATAGCAATAACATCTTCTGTCACTTTAGGGAGTATCATGAACTCAGTTCCCAACTTATGCATGTTCCAAAGTTATTGCTCCCAACTCACCCATTGTCTCAGCTACCCCATAGCATTTCCTTTACTTAACTCACATATTCAATGTGAATGGGCAACTCATCCTTCTGGCACTGGCACTGTCGTTATTGTACTGTTGACTGTCTTAGACCCACCACTCATGTCAGGGTCATTCACAAAATCCTAGAACAAGTGGTGCATACAATGTTCAGTACTTAAACCACGTTTTAGCCCACTTAAAAAGTAACTGAAAACTGACTGAGAGAACTGTGCCTTTCTCAGAGAAGAGTTCATACCTTGATGACACCTTGTAGATAGTCCCAGACCAAAATTAATTTTAATGCAAGTGAGCAAATTTCCATGTGTTCAGTCAATTTCTGCATCCTTACTGGTGAGGCATCTGTTCAAACCCTTTGTCTATTTTCTCATTTGGCTGCATGCCTTATTCATACTGATTCCAAGTTTGTTTGTATGCATATATTCTGGTAATTGCTAGATCTTTGTTGAATAAATGGATTGCGCATACATGTCCTTTGGATTATCTTTTCATTCTCTTAGAATATCACTGGACTAGAACTCCTTATCCACTTTACATTTCCCCTTTTTATGGTGATATTTTAGTTAGATTTGAGGAACTGCTCACTGACCCAAAGCCACTGGAGATATTGAATATGCTCTTTTTCCACCTTTACTTTGTTTTTTATGATTAGATACACAGTTTACCTGGATTTTATTTTTGTTTTGGTTGGCATAAGGGTCAAGACATTGTTTTCTCCTATCAAGTCTCCTTTTTGACCTAACCACCCCACATCTAAGATGTCGTGATGTTTCTCTGAGACCCTGTTTATCAGTGACAATCTTAGCCTCATGTTGCTTCTTTAGTCTTTATTGTAGCACTTGCTATATTCCACACCGTCTAAGGATATAACTTTCCCTTTAAGCTACTGAGGATGCTACAAGAATGAAAGCAGGTTCAGCTCTCATAGCAAAGGCCTAAATGGAAAGTCAGTTAAACTACACAGGACATTTTTATCTCTTATCGGACAATTCAGAAGTATCAGTCCAGAGCTGATATAGAGGCTCCTCTTTTCTCTGTACTACACACAGTTTCTAACTCATGATCCTAGACAGCTGCTTCAGTCCTTGTTACCAAGTCCTTGTTCCAGCTAGAGTTAAAGGGAAACAATTAATTCAAAGAGCCAAGTCACATCATTCTAATAGGAGCCTAAAGGCTGAACACAGTAAGCCTTCTTTATCTCACTGTCTAAAGCTTTGCACATGGCCGCATCTGCTTGCAAAAAAAGGTAGACAATGTTGTCTGCAATCATGTGGCTATCCCCAACAGAAATCCAAAAACCAGAAGTACACATTTTCTGTTGGAGAGGTAGAAGTTTCTATCCCATTACCCTTGCCCACCATTCCAGGCTTCCCTTCAATGACTATAATTTGATCAGATTGAACCTAGACAGTTACTCAGTGTATATTCTATTTAGAGGGTAGTCATTACTTGACCTTCTCCCCAAGGTCATTGATCCTTTAGCAGCCTGTGCCAGTCAGTTGATGTTGCGTCTGCCCTGAGACATATTTATCAGAGACTGCTCAATGGGAAAATATGATGAAAGTCATTGCTACAAATGTGGATAATTGGGTGACATAGCTCTGATCAGCCAGCAAGAGAGTGACAAAGCCCAGAGTGAAAGAGTCTGTTTTCTGTTGAATGCCCTTCCCAACATATTGTGTTTGCAGTGACAGCCATCACCATATATCTACATTATCTTGTGTAAATGTACTACATGCATGTGTACATGTATGCCTGTATGTCTGTATGTCTCTGTGTGTGCTTGCATGTGAAGGCTAAAGGTTGATGCTGGGTGCCTTCCTCTTTTGCTACATCCTTATGTTTTGAGACATGAAACTCACTGACCATGAAACTCACTAGTTTGGCAAGAGTAACAGGCAATAAGCCCTGGGGATTCTCCTATGTCTGCCTTCCCAGTTCTGGGATTACAGGCGCATGCCACCATGTACAGATTTTTACATGGGTGATAGGCAGTGGTCACCTCTCAACCTAATTACATTTTATTCATTTATTATTCAGTCTATCATGTTTACTGAGGACCTACCATAAGCCTAGAATTGTTGGAAGTAATAGAAAGCATAACCTATGAATGAAATGACAAGTGCTTTTCATTCAAAGAAAAGCAGCCCCTTTTATTTATAATATAATGTAAATATTATAGCAAATTGTAGCAAATGAAGATGTAGCAAAATGAAGACAGCTCCCAAACACATTGTATATAAATAGTTCTGCCCATAGTCAATCTAAGTGATGGGGATGGTGGTGGCAAATATATACAATTATATAATATCTATATTTATTTCCCAATTAGCTAAGTACCGATGTCAGTATTTATGAGACCCTTAAGGTCAGTCACAGATTAAATTATTTTAGAATCTAGAATGCCTTCAGGTTTTAGTCTTATATCTATTTTTCTTTTGAATATCATTGGCTAAAATTTTAGTATTCATTGACACATAGTAGCTGTCCATATAGCTGAGCGCACTGTGTTTCAGTCAATACTTGTAATGTGTAAGGTGTCAAAGCAGCTAGTATTTCCTGCCCCTTTCACTTTAGTCATTTGTCCTGCCAAGCTTTAAATATTAGCACTTGTCCTATACAAATGTTTTTGGCACCTGTTATCTGATCTCCTTCAATTCTCTTCCTGTCAGAGGGTGTCAAGAAAGACTTCTAGAGGAATGGATGCCTTAGCTGGGACTGAAGTGATGAGTTCATCTATTTATGTGCAATCACCATTTTAAACTACACTTGTGAGACCATGTAATATTTGTATTTCCATATCTAGCTAACCACACTTTACAGTGCTTTCCACTTCCATTCATGTTGTTGAAAATGATATTATTTCATTCTTTTTTATGAGCAAATAGTACTATAGTACTCGTGTGTGTGTATGTGTGTGTGTGTGTGTGTGTGTGTGTGTGTATCATATTTTCTGCATTTGTCCATCCTTGATTGATTCTAAAACACAAACACCAAGCTTGCCAATATTCCTTCGGTTGTTTTTCTCAACTGTAAATCTGATGATCTGTCCCTCCCCTTGACCCATGATTGCCCTAGGGATTAGTTCCAAACTCTTCAGCCTCTCTGTATACCCAGGCCCATTGGCCTTCCTGGCTCCTAACCATTTCCCTACATATATCACTGCAGCCACACTGAGTTATCCACAGCTCCCTAGGTACACCACAGTCTCCCTCACCTCTGTGCCTCCACAGTGGCTCTTTCTTTTCCAATCTTCACCTCACCATCACCCAGCTACCCCAACCCATCCCTTCAGTAGAAGCTAAGGCACCCATTCCTCTAGAAGTCTTTCTTGATACCTCCTTAGCACCCTGAACCTCACAGGTCATACCTCCAGCTAATACTATCAGCTGTCCCTGAGTCTTCTTATAAGACAAGAGGGGAGACATGCTATGTAAACAAGTCAGGACCTTTGTTTTCAAAGCTGTGCTCTAGAAGCCCAGGAAATATTTTTTAGGTGAATGAGTAACGAATCAACAATGAGTTACTTGTTTGTTGCCTTCTTATATTTCCTCAGAATTACAACCGGACCCCTGTGATGGTCTTAGCTGTGCCCATTGCAGTGAAATTCCTCCACAGAGGTAACAAGGAACTGTGTAGGAACATGTCCAACTACCTCTCCCTGGCTGCCATCACCAAGGCAGATGTCCTGGCTGATCACACCGAGGGGATAATAAAGAGCATACTCCAAGGTACAGTTCAAAAACTGAGCTGGGGGTGTGGTTAACAAAAACTCAATGAATTGCTGATGGCGCCTGTGAGTGAGGCCCAGCACGCAAACTGCAGAGTTAGGGTTTTATTGTTGTTGTTGTTGTTGTTTCTCTATGCTGATGGTTGACTCACAACCACACCATAATTTCTCCTGGGCCAGCTGAGTATGTTTCTTCACCTAGTGAATGAAGTACTTAGATTCACTGAAAAAGTATGAGCTTCCTGACAGTCCTATGATTCTCAATCCAGAGTGCTGTGTAGCCCATGATTCCTGTCAACGTATCCAATTCCTGGCTGTGGAGAGCTCATTCTGTGACAGGTCTCTCAATGGTTGATGTAAATGCACTTTTTCCTCTCATTTCCAAAAGTAAGAAGCATCTTTGGGTATATAAAATACACAAGAGCCAGGCATAGTGGCACACACCTTCAATCCCAACACTTGGGAGGCAGAGGCAGGGGTTCTCTGTGAGTTCAACGCCCACCTGTTCTACATAGTGAGTTCCAGGACAACTGGAACTACATAGTGAGATTTTGTCTCAAAATATCAAAACAAAAGATGAGATACACAGGAAAATGTGATGACTCTGTAACTCAAATATGACTTGAAACTAATTTACAAGTGCATTAAATACCGCCAAAATAAATAAATAAGGACATCTTTGTTATTACATCATTTGAATTGAAGAGCTCAAACCAGTCCACATATCATATGTCCTTTTGGGGGGAGGGTGTTCTTATCTATCTGAAACCTTGGTTTTTGGTTTTTTTGGAAAGGTATTTCAAGTCAGAGGACAATATATTGAATGACTTGATATGCATCAAGATATTTCCAGTCCTCATTGATAAAAATTCATGAGGACCACAGGCATTGCTGCCCATAGATTGTTTATTCAGACCCCACAGCCTCAACTCCTTGCAGAGTGCTCCTATGTTCCTAGTCCCAGGGTTTCTTGGAGTCTCCAAGGGTGTCCTGAATGTGCCCTGTGCCCAGTGTACCCAGGCCAGCCCACAGTCTATGTCCTTTTGACCAGGCCACCTAGCTTAGTACACTGTGATAGCATTCCCCTCATGACTCTGCTCCCAACAGGGTCCATATGGAGCCTCCATGCACCCTGCCAGAATAGTGGCCTCCGCCCTCATGGGAAGCTTCAGAAACCATGAGTCCTCCGACCCAGAGTCCACATGGCAGCCTCTGGCAGTAGAACAACAATCTTTCTCCCTGGTGTTAGGTCTTGGTAGACAGGCCTGAAGTAGGTTGCTTGTTTCAGGTAGCACATTGTTTTGCTCTGTTTGCAATAAGATAGGGAGTATACTCTTTCCAGCGGTAGACCTCTCACCCAGATGAGCAAGGTAAGTGGTTTAATCCCCATTGCAGAAAATAAATAAATAAATAAATAAATAAATAAATAAATAAATAAATAAAAGCACTCTCTTTTCTTTCCTGAAATCTGAAATTAACTGTCCATATATGCATACCCCCTATCCTGAACCATCTTCTCACACACTCCACCTCACACCACCCGCCTCTAGCACCCCATTATTAGAATGCCTACTGCCTACCAAGGATGAAGGTTTTGTCCCCACCTCAAGCTCAAGTATCAGACACTCCTAAGAAGGTTCCTCAGTGTCACTCCAGATTCCTGGCCAGTCTAGCCCCCTGTCTGACAGATACTCAGATATGTCTGACCACCAAAGACAGTGAGGTGTGTTGCTCAGCCTGTGCTTCTCTGAAAAGATTTGGCACTTGTAATATTAATCAGTGGTTTGTTCCTAATTTCCTTTGGCCTCAGCATCAAATTGCTAATTTTGCTTCACATGTAGTTGAATTTGATGCAAGTCCAAAAAAGCAGTTATGCTTTTATTTTTACCACCTTCAAAACATTTTTTGAAAAACAATTCATAGAAATTACAAACACACCAGGCAATTTAAAACTATGGGAAGTAGACTTGGGAGCAACAGATTTATATAAAAATGAATTCTCTCTTTCAGGCTGCCAGGTGCTTAGCTCATACTTGTGAGGCCCTTTAAATGTTATTTCAATGACAAAGAGATCTTTGAAACACAAAATCAACTCTAAGTGAACTGCAAACATTTGAAATAAACAAATGATTTGGTTTATCTGATCTGGCACTTTGAAAAAATTGTCATAGAATCAATAGTAACTTGACCTATGAATGGCTGGGTCTGCATAGTCCAGGGTTTTGATTGTGAGGACTGACATGACTGTAAAGCCCCATCCACAGCTCATGTGAGTTGCAGAACAGAAAGGATTTTGAGTAGTGAGTCCTTTGCTCTGCAAGTCTTCATTTGATGCTCCCTGTGAGCAGCTTTAGTGAGCTCCTTGGGGGTCTTTCTTCATTACTGTAGTTTCTTCTCACCGTTAGACTGTTGTCTTTGATCTGTGACTGTCTTCTTTGATCTGTAGTATCCTAGTCTTTAGACTGTTGTCTTTGATCTGTGACTGTCCTCTTTGATCTGTAGTATCCTAGTCTTTAGACTGTTGTCTTTGATCTGTGACTGTCTTCTTTGATCTGTGGCATCCTAATCTTCATTCTCCTGGACTTCTACTCTTACAAAAAAAGGTTAGTGGTCATCTCTTCAATAACAACACTTACAATAGCATTATAAAAATAATGTCAGACAATTTTTGTGTCAAACATCGAATTAATTAATTCATTTGTATGAACTAAATCAGCATTACTCAAGAGAACTGAAAAACAGAAATCCTATTATCCATTTTACTCACCAGTAACACTTTAAGTAACAACAAAAAAACCATGGTATAAATGACTTCATGGAGAGGATAAAGAAAATAGGGGGAAAAAAGAAGAAGAGAGAAAGAGGAGGAGAATGAAGAGGACAAAGAAGAAGGAGAAAGTAGAGGAGGAGAAAGGAAAGGAGAAGAGGGGAAGAGAAACAGGGACAGGGAAGAAGAGTGGGAAGAGGATGAAAAGAGGAGAAGGAGAAAGAGGAAGAAGGGGAAGAAAGAGGAAGAGGGAAAGAAAGAAAAGGAGGAGGGAGAAGAAGAGCAACTCCTTGTTGTAACATCAAAGGTCCATGGGTGATCAGACTTCGAAATGACTTGACTTGGGCCTCAGTGGTGGCCCTGAAAGCTGTGGCTAAGCATCCTTCTGCTGTATTGTTTTGATTTTATGTCCCACAGCATGAGCCTTCACACTGTCCCGCTCACATCACTATGGATACCAATTACACAAAGTCCATATCCAATCTGATTTTCTGTTTTTAATCCAACGCTGGCAACCTCTTTCTGAACTGACACATCATCATTGCAGGTAGACCCCATGTATCAGTTGTCTGCTTAGACCATGAGCTACCTCAGAAAAGGAGATGGCAATGGGCTGCAGCAAAATCACATGAGTGGGGAGTTAGGAACATGTGAAAGCTGCAAATGCCCACCATGTCATTTTGTACAGGAGCAGCTGACTAGAATTAAACCCCAGCCATTTCACCCCAAAGCTACCTCTGCCGTTGAATCTCAGCTCCACTGAACATTGGTCACACTTGTATTTTTCTGAGCACTGGTTTCTTCTTGTGTAAATCAGATGTTCAGCCCACAGTCTAGTGTGCTCTCAATAAACACTAGCTAAGATGGTGATGGTAATGATTATGACAGCCTGCCTGTATTTGAGTACTTCAGTGCCAGGAGTTTCTTGTGAAAATCCACATTTTTCTGGAGTATTTGAATGAGTATTATGATGAATTAGATGTTCTTTCACTATGTCCTCTCCCTTTGGCTAAAGCCTTCCTCTTGGGCCTCCTGGTGGAATGAGATTTCAAAGATGGAGCATCATTTCTCATGGCTCCTCATGACTGTACCATTGTTTTCTTCTCCAGTCATAACAAACAGGCACCCACCTAGTTCACTAACTCATCCAAAGATGACTTAATTCTGAGTCACTTTGCAAGATGCACTCCAGTCCCTTCCATGCAGCCTGCCCCCTTGAATTCTCCCTGGTTCTTGTCAGCACTATACAGTATATGGCTCATGGCTGATCATAATGGTCTAAGCTGTTTCTATAAGGATTAAATGGATGTCTCACCCTGTTTAGAAGCTTATTGCCACCTTAAAATTAAATTGTTTCTTTTAGTCACATCTTTATTTCTACTGACCTCATCTTCTACTACATCTCCAAAAGAGTTTTCCTTGTTAAACACACACACACACACACACACACACACACACACACACACACACACACACACACACACAAAACACATATACTGCCCCCCATATGGGATTCAGCTCAATGCTTTTCCAGACCAAGACTTATAAAACATGTTTCTTGCATCCCAATGTGTTTACAGTTTTTCCAAGGTCTTTTTCAACTATAAATTTCTTGGACAGTGCCACTCTTTTTTCAAAACACCAATTCAAAGGTTGGCCCTATGAGGTCCAGGGCTTTGGTGTCCTGTCTACCCTTAGACTTGGCTCATAACAGTCCATTGATTATATTTTTCAAAACTGTATTATATATTAAAATTCAAATTCCTCATATATGTTTATAATTCAACTATGAGAAATTATATGAAATAGGGTTGTATATTTACTCCTAAAGCAAAATGTTTGAATAATTCTAAGCCAAGTTATGCAGTTTTTCCTTATTACTGGATAGATATGTAATGTTTAATTAAATTTAAGTACAAATTCATTTTATTCAGGTTGTTTGCATCCCACTTAACTGTTTTGTTTCCTATGAATTTTCAAAATAAGAAGGAAAATTGTCAAAAAGGGTCCTCTTTTTGGAAGAATTAAAAGTACACAGTGTTCGCTGATTGGGCATAGGACAAGCAAACTTGAATACTGACAAATCAGTCACACTAGTGTCTTTAAGTCAGCCACCAGAAAAACTGTGTCCCATTTAGCTTTGATAGAAAATTTTGACAAATAATACAATGAATAAATCATTAGAATCTTATCTTAATTTTCCAGAAAATTGAAAAGAAGTGTATGTTCCATCT